TGCGTCGGGGTTCTAATGTTATTAAAATGCTTATATCTTTGTAACGGTCTATTTGAAGGCACTGAATTTCCTGCAGTGGTCTACAGAGATGTCTGACGCACAACTGCGTCGCTTGGTCTGTGGATATGATGATTGGTGACGTCATATGATAGTTGGAAAAACTGGTCTTTACTTTTCTGCATCACTGTTTGTATGTATGCAGTATGTACGCTGAATTATCCTATGTAGCTTTTATATTTGTTCAGTTATAAACTGTTCTTGATCAATCTGTTTTTTATTTTACTTACTTTCACCTCAAAACACAAAAAATGAACTGTCGCATATATGCGACGTTTGGTCTATTTCAAGAAAACTATGATAATTTTCACTATTGTCTTCGCTGTAGACCGGGCGTCGCACATATGCGACTTTGCAAAAGGTTATTAATAATACAAAAAAACAAGAATAGGCCTACATCATTTACAAACACGATTGTAGCGTATTACAATGTAAATGATCACTGTTTTACAGGTTTTTGCCCATGGTCTGTGTGTACTGTTATCCAAGTGACAGCCGGTCTGTGTGTAAGATTCAAATGTATACCTCGGTCTGTGGCAATGACCGCGGCGTCGCATATATGCGACGCTCAGTAGCGAACGTGTTAACGCTGAATCCAAAAATGCAATCAGTTTTTGTCAGAGAGATTCCTAAGTGGCCGTAAAACGAAGGTTAGGATTACGGATCTAAGGATAATTGAGAGGTACTGAAGGTAATGGTAATATAGCCGTGGACTGGACGGGTTCCGTACTGAGTGAGGAGTGAGGACTGAGTGAGAAGAGCAAACAACTGTTTCGACTTGATCTAATGCGGAATGAAATGAAATCAATTCCTTTTGAAACAGAATAGGCTAATCAGTTCTTATTTAGGCATGTGAGGAAGGTAGGTCGGGTTTTATGCGGATTCGTGACTGTATTAAGTGTTTTGAAGTGAGGTTAGATCAGAAAGGTAAAGGTTAGGTTATAATGAACCGACTCATTAGGTAGGCCTAATTTATGCAACTTCCAGACAGTTTTTGCACTATTTAATTGTGCAAAAACAGTCAGGAAGTTGCATAAATTAATGAGTCGGCTCATTATAACCTAACCTTTAACTTAGGCCTACCTAATCTAACCTCACTTCAAAGGACTTAAGTTAATATAGTCACGAATCCGCATAAAGTCCGATCTATCTTCCCTACATGCCTTTTCTGACATAAAATGTGATTTAAACATTAAAAGGTTGGGTTGGGTTAGGTTAGGTTAGATTACAGTAGATTAGATTATGTAATCTAATTTATTAGTATCTGATACATTAAATGTACTGTGGCACGTTTTCACTTTTTAGACACAATGGGATTACCTATGTACTATGGGATTATGCACTATGGCACGTTCATTAACAGACGTTGGGACATTAGTGTTAAGTATTAGTCAATGGTTGAGGATTCGGAATGAGGACGATGATCATGTCGGCAGTGGCCTAAGTTTAGCTTCTATTACTGATATTTTACGTGAATAAATTCTATTTTGTTTTATAATTTATGTTCATGTGATTAATAATTTATGTAGGCTATCATAGTTGATTTAGGCCTATTGTATTTTCTAAACAACACTAAAGTCCATTTTCTTTTAAAAATCTATTTATTTCATATTGTAACTCTGATTTTGCTCTCATGGCGTCGTGTGTGGTTTTGTCTGTTTAGTAGCGAATGTAAACAAACAACTGACAGCTGTTTCCACTCCACAAACCTTCCACCCCTTTTAGTGTTAGTCGCCACTAGAACTTGGACTCGTCCATACCACAAATATGTTAATAAAGCAACAAAACTTAGGCTTAATATGAATTATTTAAACTTGTGTGAACCTGGCAATAACTCCAGCCATAAGTAGTGCGCGCGCCCGAAAAATCTATTGCTGGCCGATTTGCGGCAAAATACGGCCGCGTAACATAATACCGATGATGTCACCAGATAGAGGACACTTTAAGGGACACGACAGTATCAATATCATGTACCTGGGGGATAAGAAAGGGGGGGGTAAAGTCAGCCATAAGTAGTGCGCGCGCCCTCAAAAATCTATTGCTGACCGATTTGCGGCAAAATATGGCCGCGTAACATAATACCGATGATGTCACCAGATAGAGGACACTTTAAAGGACACGTCAGTATCAATATCATGTACCTGGGGGATAAGTAAGGGCTGGTAAAGTCAGCAATAAGTAGAGGGCGCGCCCTCAAAAACCTATTGCTGGCCGATTTGCGGCAAAATACGGCCGCGTAACATAATACCGATGATGTCACCAGATAGAGGACACTTTAAAGGACACGTCAGTATCGATATCATGTACCTGGGGGATAAGTAAGGGGGGTAAAGTCAGCAATAAGTAGAGGGCGCGCCCTCAAAAATCTATTGCTGGCCGATTTGCCGCAAAATACGACCGCTTAACATGAAACCGATAATGTCACCAGATAGAGGACACTCTAACGGACACGACAGTATCAATATCATGTACCTGGCGGATAAGAAAGGGGGGGTAAAGTCAGCAATAAGTAGTGCGCGCGCCCTCAAAAATCTATTGCTGGCCGATTTGCGGCAAAATACGGCCGCGTAACATAATACCGATGATGTCACCAGATAGAGGACACTTTAAGGGACACGTCAGTATCAATATCATGTACCTGGCGGATAAGAAAGGGGGGGTAAAGTCAGCCATAAGTAGTGCGCGCGCCCTCAGAAATCTATTGCTGGCCGATTTGCGGCAAAATACGGCCGCGTATCATAATACCGATGATGTCACCAGATAGAGGACACTTTAAAGGACACGTCAGTATCAATATCATGTACCTGGCGGATAAGAAAGGGGGGGTAAAGTCAGCAATAAGTAGTGCGCGCGCCCGAAAAAATCTGCGCGACTTGAGTGGCCGCGCATAATAGGATTATAGGCCTAATACTTTATGGTAAAAGTTGGTGATACAAAAGGATCGTCAACCAGTCTAGTCGTAAGTTGTCTGTTGTCACGGCTTTGAATGATCAATTTATTAACATAAAAAACGAATTCTCAACTCATGTTGACCTCTACAGCGACAGTCTAGCCTAACACAAAATTCTACACGATTAATTAATTCACACCCAATTACACTTATACATCCAAATACAGTTTACACCTTAGACTTGAGGAACTACACTACTATCATCATACTTATGGCTGACTTTACCCCCCCTTTCTTATCCGCCAGGTACATGATATTGATACTGACGTGTCCCTTAAAGTGTCCTCTATCTGGTGACATCATCGGTATTATGTTACGCGGCCGTATTTTGCCGCAAATCGGCCAGCAATAGATTTCTGAGGGCGCGCGCACTACTTATGGCTGACTTTACCCCCCCTTTCTTATCCGCCAGGTACATGATATTGATACTGACGTGTCCCTTTAAGTGTCCTCTATCTGGTGACATCATCGGTATTATGTTACGCGGCCGTATTTTGCCGCAAATCGGCCAGCAATAGATTTTTGAGGGCGCGCGCACTACTTATTGCTGACTTTACCCCCCCTTTCTTATCCGCCAGGTACATGATATTGATACTGACGTGTGCGTTAAAGTGTCCTCTATCTGGTGACATCATCGGTATTATGTTACGCGGCCGTATTTTGCCGCAAATCGGCGAGCAATAGATTTTTCGGGCGCGCGCTCTACTTATTGCTGACTTTACCTCCTCTTCCTTATCCGCCAGGTACATGATATTGATACTGTCGTGTCCGTTAAAGTGTCCTCTATCTGGTGACATTATCGGTTTCATGTTACGCGGTCGTATTTTGCCGCAAATCGGCCAGCAATAGATTTTTGAGGGCGCGCGCACTACTTATGGCTGACTTTACCCCCCTTTCTTATCCGCCAGGTACATGATATTGATACTGTCGTGTGCGTTAAAGTGTCCTCTATCTGGTGACATAATCGGTATTATGTTACGCGGCCGTATTTTGCCGCAAATCGGCGAGCAATAGATTTTTCGGGCGCGCGCTCTACTTATTGCTGACTTTACCTCCTCTTTCTTATCCGCCAGGTACATGATATTGATACTGTCGTGTCCGTTAAAGTGTCCTCTATCTGGTGACATTATCGGTTTCATGTTACGCGGTCGTATTTTGCCGCAAATCGGCCAGCAATAGATTTTTCGGGCGCGCGCACTACTTATGGCTGGAGTTATTGCCAGGTTCACACCAATATTATTTAACTTAACTGTACGGCCACTTAGGAATCTCTCTGACCAAAACTGATTGCATTTTTGGATTCATCGTTAAAAATACTGTGTATGTACTTAGTCATATCAAAATTACATCATATCCCAGTGTAAGTAGGGTAAATATTTACCGAAAATTATAGGTTCATAACCTAACCTAACCAACCAAACTTGCTGATAGTGAAAAAATTGCATGATGGTTTCTAATCAAATGGTTGGACTAATCAAATTGATAGTTTCAATAGATATTAGCCCAATTAAGAAACTGCACCCGGGTCAAGTTAGGTTTCTAGTCATTTTTGCACTAAGTAGGTCTAACTTGATTTTCCGACGCTTTTCCGGCCGTAGCCTATCTCCTTTAACTTAATATCCATCAGATCCTAAAAATGTGTCGATTCTTGTTCAACTCGCTCTACTGGTTAATCTGATGGTGAAAAGTGCTTAAAATAACCCAATTATGGTAGAAAAGGTAAAAGAAATGCAGAACATAAGTAAGTTAAAACTTAAGTAGTATTTAAGTTCAGTATTACCATCAACTAGCCTAGACAAAACTATAGGCCAACCCAGGACTAGGATCTAAAAACCACAAAATAAACAGTGATGATTTTATTCGAGCTGATTGACAAGATAGGCTATGTCTAACTAGGCCTAGGCCTACTACCAAATTAAGTATTAAGTTTAAATCAATTTAAGGCCTAAACTTTTTAACCCCAATTTGTCGTCAGGAAAAATTTTAGACTTACCTTTGTCCATTTCTTATGCCTTATTTGTTGCAATGTTATTCTGTTCTGAATGAAGAGAACCCGAATGTTATCAGTTATCAGTTGCAGCTCTCGTTTTCTTACTGGGTTAGGGTTTGGACACCATCACGGCAAGTACAGCGAAACAGCGAGTTTAAGATATGTACACATACACAATGAGAATGAACTGAAAGATACGATTTTAACAACTGAAATTACCACGGATTATACTTATTAATTTCAAACACTATTTAGCTGTATAGCCTATTTCTACTCTCTTGTTTTTATAATATTCACTAAAACATCAATAACTTATCTATAGTGTTTATTAGTGTATGGTAGCCTTTTTTATTTTTTAACAGTAAAAAGTAGTAAAAGTAAAGTAAGAAGAGTAAGACAAGACCAACACCAAAAAAAAATTCCACCATGGGGTAGGATAGGGGATGAGCAATGTGAATAGATAAACCTTTCTTGAGGAGTATGTTTAATCTCTATGGATAAACTTAGTCGATCAGTCGATGTCGATGGTTTTTACATCGATTCGGTGGTAGAATCGTGTTCACAATGAATCGTCATTTTCATTGTGAAAAATTGGCTTGAGTTGAACCACTGAGCTAAATTATAGCTCAGTGAGTTGAACCCATATTACAAATTTGATGAATTTTTTGATGCCATGAAGGCTGCACAAAACTTAAATACTTATTAAGTAATGTCATGTACGTCTACTGAAAGGTATGTTTGTTTGACAATTATATTTTGCATGGTTTGCTGTGTGAAGATTTGACAGAAGTGCTGTTGTTTGGTTTGCAATGGATTATTTTATTATTTTGTATGTTTTATTATTTTTCAGGAAAAGACTGAAATATTATTTTTAGATTAATATTTATGTAAGACAAAGCCTATTGTAATCAACTTAATGGCCGAAATAAATCTTGAATCTTGAATCAGAATATTATTACCGATGTTTTTGTTATGTATAACATTGTACCATTGTACATTGTACATAGGTGTTTTCTTTGAACATTGATGTTTTCGCCAGGTCTGTTACAAGTCTACGTTTCAAAAACCTACTAGTGTAAAATACTAGTTACAAGAGTAGGGACTAGTATTACTAGTGGTTTTTACTAGTGTAGACAGCAATGTGTTTCATAAAGTTTTATTCTTGTAAATTACACTGGTAAATACTTGCCATTTTCTAACAACCTCTCTACACCCGTATTATTTGAAGTAGACTAGTATTTTTGGAAAGAGAGTTATTTCATTACTAACATCATAAAAAAAGAATTATTAAGTTCTTTTTGCAAGTGCAAATTGGCTCACGTTTGCAATTTAAGATAAAAATATATCTGTGAGTGCTAAAATGATAATTATTTTATATAAATTACAATCAATAAATGTGGCATAGTACAAAATGAGAGAAATAGAATTTTATAATGTATGTACAATCGCCCTATTAGAATTGATTATAATTATAAGTTATCAATTTTTGTGAAATTTTAGTCTAATTTTACTTGAGTTAAATTTCATGGTTATATCAACTATTAGCTATCACAGAGAAAAGATTTTTAAGCTTTGAGAGAAACCAGATTAAAACCGCATACCGTATTGCATACAAAGATGTACAAAAATGTATCCAACATTGCAACATTAATCAGATTATTTTACACCCAAGGCTCTCGGTTTTATTTAAAAATACAATTTTAAAGAGGAGTTGCTAAGGGAGTATGTTTTATCTATGGTATAACATTGTACATTGTTCATAGGTGTTTTCTTTGAACATTGATGTTTTCGCCAGGAGGCAGAGGCGGATCCAGATGAGGGTGAAGGGGGCGATCGCCCCCCCCCCTTGGGCACGGCCGTCTTAACTCCCTCGGGGCATACATATAAATGTTTTACTGCATGTAATACAGTATGAAGCATACGCATTGGGTAGAATAATTTGTCACACTAACTTTGGACGAATAAATTGTATATTGTATCAAACTGTCATTTTGGAGACTTAGTTTACACAAATCTTTCGGGGAGGGGGTACCCCAAAACTCCCCCAGACCTCATGGTTCATCCCCCTTTTGTTACTGTTTTAGATCCGCCACTGCCAGGACGTAAATCCTCCTGCCTCAAATCCATGCAGTACTACCATGGTACTACTGATTCAAGCTTATCTAGGGCATCTATGGTTGAGAGACCCACCCTTAAGCCACACTGGCCGGTCATGAGTAGATTGTGCTCTTCGAAATATTTGTACAACTGATCCTTAATTACAGTTTAAAATATTTTTGAAAATACTGGGGTTAGGGACATAGGGCGGAAATTCTCTGGACTGTTTGGATCACCTTTCTTATGAATAGGTATATAACTTTTGCTATCTTTAGTCTTTGGGGAAAGGCTCTTTCAGAGAGACATATAGGTTCACGCAATAGGTAAAAGGCTTAACAATACTAGGAAACACACTCTTAATAAGATTGACAGATACATCTAATATATCTTTGCTTGGAGAGTTGTTGAGCTTCTGGACCACCCGTATCACACTTTCACAGGACTAGGACAAAAGGGTAATGTTGAACCGTGAGGCTGCAGGGTCACGTTTCTCCAGCATCTCTAGGGCAGAAGTGTCTGAACCGTTGATAGCATCTCTGGTCTGCTGGACGGAGTCGATAAAATGGTTGTTGAAAGCTTCCGCAGTCACTATGAAGATATCAACTGGGATTTGGATGGAGCACCTGCTTCTTCATGGATAACTTTCCAGGCTGCTGCACAGCGATTACTGGCAGATTCTATGAAGCGAGCATTTCTTTCCAGTCTAGCTGATAGTAGTTTTTGTTTGTACTGCTTCTCAATAGTTTTAGAGCGTAGCTCTGAATCGGGTGTTGTATTGTCCATGTAGAGATCATAGGCTAGGAGCACCCACCTTTTCCACGTTACTAGGGATTGGTCCTTCCAGTCCGGAAGATTTTGATTTTTCTTTTGGAGCATTTGGTAGGCAGTAACCTTGTGGGAAAGCATTCATTAAACATAAGAAGGAAGTTTTGAAAGAAACAATTAAAGATATCTTCAGCCGCACCAGTATTATTAATGAAGTCCTAGTTTGTGTTTTCCAGGGGATATATAAAGTTATTTATCTTGTCTGTTGAAATAGGCAGACATACTCTTCGACCAGAACCATCAGGTTCAGGTACTGTACTGCGCTTGATGCAGTTTGTACATGGAGGCTGACTGCGTCGTGATCACTGACATCAAGTCTCTTCACTTCCGTTTTCGGGAGTCTTTTGGGTAAATCCGTAGCAACGTTGTCCAGACACGAATTGCCTCTTGTAGGTTCCCACATCAAGCAATAAAGATTTAGGGATTGCAAAAGATTTAAAAAGTCTTCTCGCCTTTTAAAATATACAGGAACACTCATAAGAAATGTACAGGAAGGAAGTTGATTTTGTGCATAGTTCTAAATATATACATCAGATAAATGAATGCCGATGCTTTTTGACAAATCTGTGTGGGCATACCGTTAATTTAAGAGACAATTTTTTACAATCTTTTGGATAGAAGAGGCAAACCGACTCGGATAAGAAAACCCAATAACTCGTAATACACAGATTGTGCTATAAAATCAATGCTGACATTGGTTAAACTCGATTATTTCCCTTCTCCTACCTTAACCAGAAAAGAATCTCACTAAGATTCTCCGACTCGGTCCGTACTATACTCACTGACTGAACGTCAACCTTCCCTTCCGCAGACACCCGTACCTAATCGTCGTCATGCAACTTCTTGGAAGTTCCCCACAGTTGGATTCCATAAGTCCAAATTGGCTTCAGGATTACTTTGTATAGTAATAATTTATTTGCAATGGTCAATTTTAAATTTATATGCATTCTTTTGTTCCAGATGTGGTTTTTCCATGTCAATCTTTTGTCAATCGTCATGCCGAGATATTTCACGTCGTGGGATTGAGGAATTTGGACATTATTTAACGTTACAGGAGGACAAGTACCTAATCTGGTAGTGAAGGTCACATGAGTAGATTTGCTCTCATTCACTTTTATTTTCCATGTTTGCAACCATTCTTCTAAGTCATCTAGGGAATTTTGAAGATTAAGTGAAGCTACCACTGGATCAGGATGGGACGCTAAAATAGCTGTATCGTCAGCAAAAGTGGCCACAGAAGTATTCACATTTTCAGGTAGATCGGCTGTAAACAGCGTATATAGTACAGGTCCGAGAACACTTTTTTGGGAACGCCAGCTTGAATTGGGTACAATTTTAATGCTATCTCCAAATTTAACTCTGAAATATCTGTCGGTTAGGTATGATTTGATTGTCATGTAAAATGTATGAGGAAGATTCAGTTTGAGTTCATAGGCCTATGTGCCACACTTTGTCAAAGGCTTGACTTACATTGATATAACAGACAGCTGTACAATATGTTCTTTTTCTCAAGGTCTTCTTTAATTGTATTAACAAATCTATGTACTTGTTCAACTGTGGAATGTTCCCGTCAAAATCCAAACTGATGATTTGGAATCAAGTTTCTGCCCTCTACTTCTTCAAGTAGACGATTGAAGAAGAGCCTCTCAAACAATTTGGATGTTATTGGAAGTAGACTGATAGGTCGATGATATGAACTTGCTTGTTGGGGTGGTTTCCCTGGCTTTGCTATCATGATTATTTCTGAAATTTTCCATTGTGCCGGGAAATACTCAGTCCGTATAACTGAATTAAAAATGAGTGTCAGGTATATAAATGCTTTTCTAGGAAACTCTTTCATAACTTTTCCTGATATTAACTCATATCCAGGGGTTTTAAACAGTTTTAATTTGTTTACAAGCTTACAGACTTCTGAGGGAGTAAAAGGCTTTATTGGAGGCGATAACTGATTTGGTGAGTCAATGAACTCAAGAATTTCGTCATGATTATTAAAATTATTATTTTGATTTTGATTGGGAGTAAACACTGCGGCCAAGTATGGTTTGCAAACACTTTAGATTTTTCAATATCGTTTCTTGCCCAAGTTCCATCGGACTTAGAGATAGGCGGTATCAGGATTTGGACATAAACATCATCCAACGATTTCAGCCAAAAGTTTTAAGGTTCATCCTGCAAGCCCCGTGGTATGAATAACAATATCCTTCACAAGGACAGTGAAATTCCTACGGTTGATGAGGAAATAACCAAATTTAGTGCAAAATATCTAAAGAAACTTGAAAATCACCCTAATCACCTGGCTCTACCTCTTGGACAACAGTACCAGTATATACAGGCTCAAAAGGATTCATGTTTTGGATCCAAGCTCACGTTTTGTTTGAACAATTTAATTTCCCTTGTTTATTTACTTATTTATTTTTTCATTGAAATATTTTTAAGTTAGCTCTGTCAGTGGACAGAGATTAACTAACGTTTTATTAATAGTTGTTATTGTATTTGCTGAATGTTCTAAAAATGAACAGATTGTAAATAAAATTGTGATAAAAAAATGTCACTTCTTGGAAAAGAATAACATATTGTGTGACAGACAATATGGTTTTAGACGCAACAAATCAACAAAAATTGGCACTCAACAACAGCAGTATAGAGACGCAATGGAGGCTGGAGAAACAGTAGTTGGTTGTTTTCCTGATCTCTCCAAAGCCTTCGATTATGTCGAATCTGCGATTCTATTGGAAAAATTTGCATCAATTGGAATCTCAGGACTTGCGCTGAAGTGGCTCATATCCTGTATGAGCAACCGATTCCAAGTCACTGGAGATTCAAAAAAACACAAATTCAAAAACAACAAAGAAAGTCATCAACACAAAAAAATTGATCTCCAATGGCGTCCCCCAGGGATCTGTCCTTGGACCTCTCCTTTTCTTGGTCTACACATCAATAACATAACAGATACTGTTCCGCAGGACAGCGTGTCTACCTCTTTGCGGATGATACAACGTTGTTCGTTAATCAAAGAGCAAATGATCTGGCTGACTTTTTTCTTCAAACAAACTCAAATTAAATTCACAAAAAACAGGATACGTGTGTACCCAAACTGCAAAAAGACAAAATTTAAAAACTAATAGGACTCCGAACCTATTAATTGGAGAGGATCAAGTTTAAATTTCAAAAACTGCCGACTTTTTGGGAGTGAGATTGGATGATAAATTGAGCTGAGATGCACAAATAAAAAAACTGGAGGGGTCAATGGCTCGAGGGTTCTTTGTACTTCGAAGAATAAGGACCTTCGGAAACCTGGCTCTCTCTAAACTTGTGTATTTTGGCTTAATAGAACAACATAAATTTTGTATTCAATCATCCAATTGGGAGCTGTGAAGAAGAATATTGATCAGATCTTTGTTTGGCAGAACATGGCAGTAAGAGCAATCTTGGCCATGCCGCCTCGGACCAGCTGCAAAAATGTTTTTAAATAACTTGGTTTCCTCACAGTCCCTTCAATTTATATCTATGAATCAGTTTGCTATATAAAATCACAGAACATTAAACCAACTTTTACAAATCACACTTACAACACCCGAACAAAGGGCACACATGCAGTCCAACATAAACTCACAAAATTTGAACACAAACCAGATTACATGGGAATGAAATTGTACCAGGCCCTACCGAAAAAATTACTCGAAATTCAGAGCTTAAAAAAATTCAAATCAGAATTGAAAAAATATCTAGTGGAGTTAAGTTTACAGGACATAGACATAGTTACCTTGATGGTGACAAAAACTAGTATTAAGTTTGGTTATTCTTTGTATTAACCCTGACCTGTCCAATCCTTAAGGCAAAGGACTACGGACGGAGAGATCATGAAACAAATTGAACAATCAAAAACAGCTGACTTCTTAGGGGTGAGGCTGGATGATAGACTCGGATGGGGCGAGCACATTTATGGATTAGAGAGGTCGCTTGCTCGGCGACTGTTCATTCTACGTAGGATGAGGTCATACGGCATCGATGCTCTGCGCAGGCTCGTCTATCACGGACTGTTCGAGCAGTACATTTCTTATTCTATCATTTTGTGGGGTTCTTCCACCAAAAAGAATTTGGAAACAGTTTTTGTCTGGCAAAAAATAAAACAAACAATAAGGACCATCCTAGGCATGCCACCAGATGCCAGCTGCAGAGATGCGATGCATTCATCCAGCTTGGACTCTTGACTGTCCCTTGCATATTCATCTACGAAGCAGTAGTAGTTTACATAAAATCACAAAACATCCAACCTCATTTCATAGATCACAAATACAACACTAGAAACAAAGGAATCCATGCTCAACAACATAGACTAAAATTGTTTGAACAAAAACCTCATTATTTCGGTTTAAAAATTTTTCAGGCACTGCCAAAACAACTTCAAAACATTCAAAAAATCTCAAAATTCAAAACAGAAATCAAATCTTTCCTGACAAAAAATTTCACAAAACAGAGCCCTTTGGACTAGGATGTGATTTTCTCATAATTTTTATTATTATTATTAGACCTTAACCTATTGACCTGTCCAATTCCTGCCCTGGACTACGGACGGAAACTTCAAGTATGTATGTATGTCCATATCGTCTTGTCAGTCGTTCGTCAGTCCTGTCCTGAGTCCAGTCGTCACATCTCCCTCTTCCGATGATATTTAGGATCTCATCTAGGCCTGCCTACTACAACTAAACTAACTGAACTGAACTGAACACTGATCGATCAGGATCAATGATCAATAGGATAGGAAGTTAGAAGTTACAATTTTATATTGAAGTCAGTGTTTGTTAATGTTAATGTGTTTCTTTGTTCGATTCGATTCTAGTTCCCATTCGTGATAAAAATCTCTGTGCTATCACAATCTGTTCGTTGTTCGTTTTTTAGTACAAAGGTGCATGTTCTACTCACTTTGTTTGTAGCATAAAAATAATCTTGAGGTCAGGAAAGAAACTAGGCTAAAGAAAATTTACTCGATAAGCCTATTAAACATAACATTTCTTCAATGGCTACTGCTGTTTGTGAATCTCATCACGCCACAGTAATTGGTGGAGACATAAAAGAAGGTAAACTAGGCCTAGGCTAGTTGTCCATGTTAGTTTGTAAGACCGTGCTTGTTTTCACTTGGTGATTCAGATTAGCCTAGGCCCTAGATATTAAATCCCAGAACTGATAGTTGGATTTTCTAAAATGCCCGCACAGTTTGCTCTGTTTGCATCCAGGCTTATGGGCAATACCTATGAATTAAAAACAGCTAGGCTAGGCTGTTTTTAAGAAATTTATAGCCTACCCTAGCATAAGTACGGTATAAGGCCTGGGTACAGTTTCTTAACTGGGCTATGCTAATATTGATTGAAACTATCGATTCGATTAGTAAACCTTCATGCGATTTTTTCACCATCAGCAAGTTTGGTTGGTTAGGTTAGGTTATGATAGTTAAATTTTATAATAGATACTAGCAGAGTACCCGTTCTTTGTACGTGTTTGGCATATAAGTTTATCATGCTTAACCCTCCAAGTGCCTCTAGTTTTGGTCTTAATGTTCGCCCATTTATTGCGCAATCGCCTAGGGTTTTATTAAAATGTACCTTAGAAACTTAAAAACGATGTAAAGTACTGTATACTGTTTTATATATCATTTTGTTTGGAAAATTATGGACTTCAATGTAGCTAACATATAAAACATTACAAAAAAAATTTTCAACAATTTTTGTGGGGTTAACATTTCTCAAAAATTATAAAATAGGCCTATGTAAATGACAAAAATTTATGTTTGCGCTCAATAAATTGTTATAATTTATAGGTCTACAAATATTTTTTAAAAAATAGCCACTTTGTTCAGAATTTTATGAGGATTCCAAAAATATAATAATATAAGGAAGTAGGTTTGCAAATAAATAAGTTACAGTATGGGCAAAAAACAGATTTCGGGAGGCCTACATAGCGTTTAGCTAAGAATGCATAGCCTAAACATAGCTAGGAATCTGGCTGATAATTTACATCAATATCACTACCTACTTCTTCAGGACGTCATTTGTTTATGTTTATGATCCATACCGGTACAAAAGGAGTTGTTGGCCCGAATCCTATACTAGGCCTAATAGCATTGAACATATGTTTTGGCAGTTCCATTTAAGCAATGTTAAATAATGTTTATTTTCGGGCCAAAAACGTCATTTGTTTATGTTTATGATCCATACCGGTATTTTTCTAGTAATCGTGGGTATTACACATCTATTACCATAGCAATAGACAAGCGACTACAGACATGAGAAATATGACAGTGCCAGTCTAACTTTGGATCCAAATATAGGCCTATAGTAATTTAACATTTGAAACATCATGATCCATCTGATTTAAAGTGAAAACAATGGTTTGGGATTTAAGTTACTGTACTCTTTCATTTAACTTAAAAAAGTTAGCTCGGAACCATGCTGATGCTATCCCCATTGACTCAGACATTTGACCATTTAGAGTTATCAGGGCTTTAGAGAAACTGAAAAGGGTCATCAGCATAGCAGACGACATTTCCTCCAAAATTTGGAATGAGGTCATTGGTCATGATAATGAACAAAAGGCGGGCCAAGTACAGACCCCTGTGGGACAACATGAGTAATCTGACAAGGGCTAGAGACATGCCCATTTATGAGCACCCTCTGCTCACGCCCAGCCAAGTATGACTCCACGAGCCTGAGTTCAGAGCCCTTTACTCCATAAAAGTTCAATTTATCCAGCAGTATCCGATGGTCAACCGTGTCGAAAGCATTACTGAGACCACACAGAGGGTGGCCCCAGTAAAGCCTCCTGCCTCAAATCCATGCAGTACTACTGCTTCAAGCTTATCTAGGGCATCTGTGGTCGAGAGACCCACCCTGAAGCCACACTGGCCGGTCATGAGTAGATTGTGCTCTTCGAAATATTTGTACAACTAAAATTCCAACCACGAATTCCTTTATTTGTTTTCTCCTTAATTACAGTTTCAAATATTTTTGAAAATACTGGGATTAGGGACATAGGGCGGAAATTCTCTGGACTGTTTGGATCACCTTTCTTATGGATAGGTATATAACTTTGGCTATCTTTAATCTTTGGGGAAAGGCTCCTTCAGAGAGACATAGGTTGACGCAATAGGTAAAAGGCTTAACAATACTAGGAAACACACTCTTAATAAGATTGACAGATACATCTAATATATCTTTGCTTGGAGAGTTGTTGAGCTTCTGGACCACCCGTATCACTCTTTCACAGGACTAGGACAAAAGGGTAATGTTGAAATGTGAGGCTGCAGGGTCACGTTTCTCCAGCATCTGTAGGGCAGAAGTGTCTGAACCGTTGATAGCATCTCTGGTCTGCTGGACGGAGTCGATAAAATGGTTGTTGAAAGCTTCCGCAGTCACTATGAAGATATCAACTGGGATTCGGATGGAGCACCTTCTTCATGGATAACTTTCCAGGCTGCTGCACAGCGATTAGCCTACTGGCAGATTCTATGAAGCGAGCATTTCTTTCCAGTTTAGCTGATAGTAGTTTTTGTTTGTACTGCTTCTCAATAGTTTTGTAGCGTAGCTCTGAATTGGGTGGTGTATTGTCCATATGTAGAGATCATAGGCTAGGAGCACCTACCTTTTCCACGTTACTAGGGATTGGTCCTTCCAGTCCGGAAGATTTTGATTTTTCTTTTGGAGCGTACACATTTATTTACCATAGCCATACAATAAAAAAAAAAAAAATAATTAAAATTCGCAAAAAATCACAAATTATTCATGACATTAAAAACACTAAACTAACTGTACATGAACAATCATATTTTGACAAATCTCATTGCGTATCACAGTTTTTTGTTGCTGCTTAGTTCAAATTAGGTTTACATGAAATGAAATGCTTTAAAACTTATTATCCGTTAGGCATAAAATGCAATAGGCATTGTCAAAAACAAATAGCAATATACAATTTTCATAGAAATTAAAACTAAAATGCAAAAATCACACAGCAAACAAAACCAAAAGCAAATGCAAGCATAAAGCACATAAATGCTAAAAAAGAATATAGTGCTACACCCTGTAAGTAAATCTTAACTTAACACGTTAGCTGCCACGCCGACCCGATCGGGTCGGCGTAGCTCATCTTGGTAGGAAACATCAGCCGACCCAATCGGGTCGGCAGCGGGATTTTACATGACTTAAGTAAATTGATCCGTGACTTTCATCAGTGGTTGTGGGGAACTTTTTAAATAGTTCTAATCTGAGAAAACAATACTAATAATGTTATAGAATGTTAATTGTTGTCACAACATTTTTTTATTTTACTTATACATCGACTACCAATAGGCTATATTTTGCCGACCGATCGGGTCGGCACATTTTTTTTTAAACTTTAACATTATTGTTAGTGCTGAAATATTAATAAAACTTGAATCTAATGGTAATAAACTTGTTAGGAATGTAGTAGAGATTAAACCGTATATTGACAAGATAGTTTTTAATTTCACAACACGTTATATGGTTATGCTAAAACTACATATTTGAAATGAAAGAAATTACGTAATTTTTGTTGAAATGACAGCTAACATTTACATTTCAAATAACATTTCAAGTCACGTACATGGGAGAAAACAAAGCACTAAATGTGAAAAATACAATCGTACAGAATAACTACCAGAGTTCACAAGGACCTTGCCTATTTATGTAAGTTTTTGAAACAATCTTTACAAAGAAATGGTTTCCCAGGACACGATTCACAAAATGTAGTGATCTTCTTGAGGTTCTTTGTTATTTTTCGGTCTCCAGTTCGTGAAGCTCTTGCATAGCACACTTTACAATTCTTCCGGCTCTCCTTTTGTTCTTACCCTCGCCTACAAATATCACTGTTCCAGACAAGTGGTGATGTCCAACATGTTTCACTGGCTCGATTTGTCCATCTTGCAACTCTAGTAGTGCGTAGGCCTACACAATCTTTTCCCTGAAGGTCGTAATGGAGTAGAGATGCTTATTCTTACTCTGAGAGTTGACCCCGGCTGCATCCTTGTAGGCGAGCCACGCATTGACGACCGCTGTACCCAGTAGGAACTCTTCTGCGACCTTATGGTACCATCGCATAGATTTTCTAATGGCTGTGCTGTACGACGACATCTGATCACTGACATCAATCCCCATCTTCGCCTTGTTGTACTCGACGATGACAAGAGGTTTGAGAATGGGTTCGCCCTGCCTGGTTTTTTTCCCTGTATCAACATAGTCAGGAGGATGTTTGGTTGACATCATTCTCACTTCCCTCTTATCAAACCATTTGGTGTAAACGATACCACTTGGGTACTCAAGACATCTCATTTCACCCTTCTTCAAGGGGTCATCGGAATTAGTGCCAATGGTTTTTTTATGAGGGAACCAGGCCCTGTTGCTGATAACACTTCCAACAAGGTGAGTATTCCTTGCTAGAAGCATGTGGGCAAGATCAACGGAGGTGTAAAAATTATCAACATACAGTGTATGCCCTCGGTCCAAATAATCTCTCATGAGGTCCATTACAACTGATGCTGCTAATGTCAGGTTATCTTCAGTTCCTGTCCCAGCACCCATGTAAACTTTCATCTTGTACGTGTAGCCAGCAGTGTCGCATATTTTAAATACCTTAATGCCGTACTTGTGGGTTTTATTTGGAAGGTATTGGCGAAATAGAAGTCTTCCTCTGAAAGGGATCATACTCTCATCGATAACCACATCTTCGCCAGGAGTTTTGTTAGTCTTGAAGGATTTGTTCAGGATTTTGATCAGAGGAGATATTTTACCTAGTCGGCCATCTCGCTCCATGTTCAAATTGTCGTTAAAATGCCAGAATCTCAAAAGCAATTGGAAACGGTTTCTGCTCATTACCTTACCAGCAACAACATTCTTATACAATAAGTTTTTCGACCAATAGTCTGTCAGCCGTGGCATTGGCACTAGACCCATCCACAGTAAAAGGCCGAGAAATTTTTTCATCTCATTTGGATAGGTAGGCCGCCATTTACGGAGTCTGCTACTACGATTCAATCGCAGTGTACTTATAACTTGATCAGCATTACGATTAGTTTCATCTACCATCATTTCTATTAAATCATCTGTTAAAAAAGCATAAAAATATTCTTCTGGTTTTGCATTTTGGGGCAGGCCGAAAGCAAACCTCGATGCTCCTTCAAAAACAATGTTTTTCTGTTTGCCTTCAAACGGCTGCCATTTATCAAGTTCATCTTTTTTCATCTTTAACTTTTCGTCCTTTGTTTTCAAACATTAAAATTTTTCTCCTAAGTTAATAGTGTAATCTTCCATTTCTATATTTACATCATCACTTTCACTCACTACAGTCATATTTTCACTAAGAGAATCAATCATTTCATCCGTACCATTCATACTTTCCATGAAACCAACCTCATTGTCATCGATGCCACTGCCTGCCTCTGAGTCATCAGTAGGGTTGAAATCCGGGTCATCGTCTGTGTCGTCCATTTCACTGTTTACATTACTGCCCCAACCATCATCACTTACACCATCCATATTTTGGTCAAATTCACTAGAAGGAGCTTCGACTGCTCTTACTATATCATCACTGCCTAGATTATCACCCATATTGAACTAACATAATACAACGAACCAAACTTAGACAGAAAACACAACACGAACAACAGCTCGAGGTAGGCCTAGACTCAGCAGACTGACATAAAGGCACGAAACTGATGGCGGGAACATTGCAGATCAGCGAAAAAATGGACCAAGAGCCTTTGCCCGGGAACAGCTGACGCGCTGCCAACCTCTAAACGAAATATACGCCGGTAGAGGTCGTGCGGAACGAGGTGAAGCCTGAGATTTTCGGCGGGAACAGTCTAAAGCGGGGAAATCCATGGTGGGGGTAAGAGACGAGCCGATCGTCGCCTCGCATAGCGACACTTCCCCCGCCACACCACTATTCCCCTCCAAGCTTCACCTCGTTCCGTACGACCTCTATAAACGTGGGACCGATCGGGCCAGCAGCCATTTTTTTCAATAAATATTCGTTGAAAAAAATCGCTGCCAACCCGATCGGTCACATTTTTTTTACATTTATTTTAACAGTTCTAAAGTATATCTTGTTGTATTAGTGTAATATAAACACAATTCAAGTAGAAATATCGAAATATAAATAACAGTAAAAGTTGGCATTACGCCGTAAATTTGGAAATAGGCCTCGGCAGCTAACGTGTTAAGTTAAGTAACTTATAATTTTTTAATTCTTTTGTATTATCATAGAACCAACTTTTTGAGTTCAAACAGCTGACTTAATTCTTGAATTCCCTTTGAATATCAATACTCATTAGGTTAACATGGGGAACTACAGAGCCACTTGGGCGGAGCCTGAAAGGATTTTTGAGATAAGAATATGCCTATATGTTAATCGGGAATGTGAGCTATCATCAAGCAAAGTTTCAGCCCAATCCGTCCAGTGGTTTATGCATGATTGAACTTCAAACAAACAAACAAACACACAAACTTTCACATTTATAATATTAGTAAGACATTTTAAAATATCGATTATTAATCAATATTTCAATTCAATAGTTTCAATAAATTATAAATATATTTTACAGATCAATTCATAACCTAACCTTAACCCTCTGGTATTTGGTATGTTTACCTTAAGTTAGGCCTACCCCTAAAATAGGCTATTTTGATGCCAAAAATCCTCAAATTCAAACAAGCATCACAATAACTCAACGTTAAGTTAAGTTAATTTAATTAACGTTAAGTTTTAATTTAATATGTCAACAACGCGATATCGTGTAATTTTTTTATGTTTAGGCAAGGCCACACTAAAAAAACAGGCCGTAGGCCTAATGCTTGTCAAGCATGACGTCACGATAGAAGACGGCAATGACGTATTTCAGGTTATATTATTGTTTTCCATGAAAAGATTAAAACAAGCAGCTGATCACAAACGGCAAACATTAAGTCATTGCCGTCTTCTATCATGACATCATGCTATACGAGCATTACGGCCTGTTTTTTTAGTGTGGCCTTGGTTTAGGCCTACTTACAGTTTTTTCACGCTGAATCCATAAATGCAGCCAGTTTTTGTTGGAGAGATGCCCAAGTGACTCTAAAAGGAAGGTTAAAATTACGAATCTAAGGTTTATTGAGCGGTAGCCTACTCAACGGTCTGGACGGGTCCGTATGTGGACTGAGGACTGAGTGAGGAGAGCAAACAGCTGTTTTTACTCTCGACTTAATGCGTTATGAAATCAAATTGTTTTGAAAATTAATAATCAGCTCTTATTTAGGCATGTGGGGAAGGTAGGTTGGGTTTTATGCGGATTCGTATCCGTTAAGTGAGGTTAGATTGGGAAGGTAATGGTTAGGTTATGATGAACTGACTCATTAATTTATGCTACTTCCAGACTGTTTTTGCACAATAAACTTAAATAGCCTAGTGGGTGAAACACGATGAAATGAACAATATAAAAAAATGCGTTTAAGCATCTTATCAATTAATCTTGCTCAATTGTATTTAACCCTCCGAGTGTTATTTGTCGCTGCATCGACACATAACACACTTTGTGTAGTGTTGTGTGTCAATGCAGCGACTCACAAACACTGTTTACGGCGAAGGCTCTATGACTGACAAAATCGGATTGAACTGGATCGAGTTAGGTATCGTTTTATTTGCCAGATTCAGAGCTTTCTCCGGAGGTCTGCCTCCAAGCGCTTTTCATTTTAGTTCCGAAAATATTGTAGCAGACAGCTGACGTGCGTATTTGTAAACAGCTTGGTTAACCTCGGACCGATGGCTGATGTGTTTTATTACGTTTATCATTGTTTTAGTGTTAAAAATCAAAAGTAGTGATATACGTGGTGCATTATAAGAAGATTTAAGTGATTGTGAAGGGCTGGTTGATGATCCTGAAGAAGTAGGTACCGGTAGTGATATTGATGTAAATTATCAGCCAGATTCCTAGCTATGGTTAGGCTATGCATTCTTAGCTAAACGCTATGTACTGAAATCTGTTTTTTGCCCATAACTTATTTATTTGCAAATCTACTTCCTTATATTATTATATATTTTAATCCTCATAAAATTTAGGACACAGTGGCTATTTTCAAATATTTATAGGCCTATAATTTATACAATTTCATTGAGCGCAAACTTATTTTTTTTTTGAAAATTTTCCAAAATATTTTTTTTTACCTAAAAAATTTTTTGAAACAAATGTTCCTTATGTTTTATGTATAATATTGAAGCCCATGATTTTCCAAACAAAACGGTAGGCCTATATAAAACAGTATAATTAACATTGTTTTCAAGCTTCTCAGATCCGTTTTAATAAAACCTTGCAAATGAGCCAAAAATAGGCAGACATTAAGGCCAAAAACAAGGGACACTCGGAGGGTTAAATAAGTAGTCAAAATACTTGGGTACTGGTATTTATGAATTATGTGTATTTAAACCCAGGTAAATAACCAGGGTATTTACTACAAGTTTTTAATACCCAGGTATTTTACATCTCTAGACTTTGTACATTAGGTACACTAATGTATAAGTTGCACTTTTATTGAATTAGGCCTAAATGAACAAAATAATGAATTTTTGATTAATTTAAGTTAACAGTGTGCACATGTAACAGTAAGTTGATAGCCTACACAAATTTTTGGATTTTATCAATAGTTTGCATCCAGGGGAGCAGTACCGTAGTGTTGACACTTTGATTCTCTTAACCATTTTTATGCAGGCTTCATTATATTTTGATATACCGTAACTTACTTAGTTCAATCTCCCTCACAATACTTAAATTTAATTTTAAGTTTTGTTAAGTTAAGTCCTATATTTAAGTGGCTCAAACAAACTTAACATAAGCAATAGAAAATTGGATGTGAATTTGCAATTTAGTTACAACAAAATAAGTTACATCCACAATGTATGACTGTAAGCTGTAGCATATAAAATATACTAAGAAAAATAATTCACTGGAATAGCATTTAAAATGTAAGTTATTACAAAGTAATCTAATTTTGTTTTGCAGCACTTAGCCACTGACATTAAATCCCTACTGTCTTAAACAGCCTTCTGTAATTTTGCTCTGGCATTTTAACACCTAAAATCATAAAAATTTTATATAGATCCTTTGGGTTTAGTTTGGTTATTAAATTATACGTGCCGTTATTAAAAAGAATAATTTTACCAAGAAAACAAGAGCTCAGGCATATGCAGTGTGTGCCAATCATGTGATATTTTTTTGCAGACTACTCCAGTTCATTTCATAGTTCTAGTGAAGAATCCAGCTTACCATCATGTCAATCTTCCGATTCTGTAAGTTAAAATTAATATTTTAAAATTTAAGTATCTAGCCAACTCAAAATTAAGTTATCCTTTGGCTTGTATAGTCAATCAACACCTATGAAAATTTGGTTGAAATGGAAGATTAAACCAGAATAAGTAAAAACTCATTCTTACGACTTGGCCTTGGTTTTAATGATTTACAAACATAAAAAAAATCATAGTAGGCTAACAATGCCCTAGTAAACTACATTTAACAGCCAAATGTGATCTGAAATGGATATTAAGTTGGTTTTAGCTATCAATTAGGTTTATGTATAGAGGCTATAAACATCCTTCACATCCAGAAAGAAAAATTACATTGAAATTCATCACGGGTAGGTACATACTTAGTTAATATAATATTATATAGCCTAGCTAACATTGACTATATTTTACATGTCAAAAAGTTTCATCATCAAAGGACATAAGGACTATTCATGGGTAAGTTATTTACAATCTGTTTAATAACAGCAGTGGATAAATCATAATGGTTTTCTTGTATCAAGTTTGGCAGTAATTTTTCAGGGAACTTTGTCTTCCTCACTGGAATCTATGGAAGCACAAGAAGTACCGGTAGAACCTTCTGCCAAAGAAGAAGACTCTGGCCACGCACACAAAAGACCAGCAGCCTTAACTCCAAATGGTAACTAGTATAAATACATACCTTTTATAATGCACCAATTGTGATAGTGTATTCCCCTCTTGTTACTAAAAAAGGTGAAAACTGATGCACCTTTTTACAGAGGATCATCAGAAGCCCAAAATATATTTGCTCTAATTATGTGTTTTTTGCATGTGTACCCGTCCAGCCGACTGGGTAACCAGTAATTTTGTATGAATTTTATGAACTAAGGAAAAGTCTGTGAATCCTATATTTTAATACGACCTATGTCTATTTGTCTGTCTGTAATTTAACCCTTTGAGCGCCGTCAAAAGATGCAACGACTTCCTCTACGGGCCGGCACTAATATGCGTGTGATGCACCAAATGGCCAAAGCTAAATCAGTGTTTTTGCATGTTTTGGCTTAAAGTGTTATACAATTTTAATGACTTGACATAAAAGGATCTGATTTCTTTTATTTTACATGTAAAAAACTGTATTTAAATACACAATCATTGCATATAAAGAAAAAAATGTAAAAACAATTTAAGTTTTATTTTGTTTTTTTCCTTTGGTAAATATACAACTACCATACAAATCAAGTTTTTTCTTCACACATTTTCTAGTTCCGTACACTTATGAGAGTAAATATTCCAATTTTGAAGAGTATATATAAATAAACAGGGTGAAGTGGGGTAAGAGTAACCGGGGGGGGGGGGGGGGGGGGCTAGTGTAACCACGGCTTATCACTCAACTGATAAGATAATTTTGGACCTAAATACTATCATATCTTGTTATTTGGACCTTCCTTTGTTATATTTAGCCTTAAGAATGCATATAAAATATGTGCAAGTAATAGTCAGGGTGTCTAGTAGTCGGGAAAATCGAGAAAGTCGGGAATTAGTATTGAATTTCAAAATGGTCTTAAAAAGTCGGGATTTAGTCTTAAATTTGATTTCAAAGTCGGGAACTTTCATTATTTTGCCGCGATCGTCTTCTGGCATTTACGCAACCGCAAAAGCCAATGATGATGATGTCTACACGGCCTCGGGAAATGTTCACAATTTTGCCGCAATAGTGGATGACGACGATGACGGTTTCCGAAACCGCGGGAGATGACGATGACCTTTCCATGACCGCTGGGGACGACGATAACGTTTCCGTGACCACGGGAGATGACGATGACGTTTCTGTGAAAGCGGGAGACAACAATGATGTTTACACGGGCGAGGGGAATGTTCTCATGATTTTGCCACGATCGCGGAGGACGACGATGACGTTTCCGTGACCGCGGGAAACGACGATGACGTTTCCGTGGCCGTGGAAGATGACGATGACGTGACTGTGGGAGTCAATGATTATGTCTACATGGCCGCAAGAAATTTTCATTATTTTGTCGCTGTCGCGGACGACGGTGATGACGTTTCCGTGACTGCGGGAGACGACGGTGACGTTTCCGTGAGACGACGATGATGTCTACACGGCCGCGGGAAATGTTCATGATTTTACCGTGGTTGCGGATGTCGACGATAATGTTTCTGTGAACGCGGGAGATGACGGTGGTGTCTAAACAGCCGCGGGAAATGTTCATGATTTTGCCATGATCGCGGATGACGACGATCACGTTTCTGTAACCGCTGCAGTCAATGATTATGTCTAAACGTACGGTATGTGGATGATTTCATGATAAAAAAAAACAAATTTGCTAGTTAGAATTTTTTATTGCTGCATTATTTCTTTACTTGAAAACACTACATTATCATAATACTACTTTATGACAAAGACAGGGGTTGGTGTAGTATTATTTAGAAAATTTGGTTAAGCTATAAAAACCTATACCTGGTATCGGTATCAAGAATCGAGAATCGATACATTTTGGTATCAGCAACCACTAATTGTTGAAAAAACTAGTCTTGAAAAATCTGGAATTAGTCTTGAAAAGTCTGGAATTAGTCTTGAATTTTATAATGGAAATAAACTAGACACCCTGAATAGTTTTAGAATGTTTAAAAAAGGCTTACATTCCCACTCCATCGGCAAGTGCCGACCTCAAACTTAGACAATTTTTCATACTTACATTTTTTATGTAAATTTGACAGTTTTTGGTTTACAAACTAATTTTCGCATGTAGAATCTGAATATAATTTCAGATCTTTGCTATTTCCTATTGTTTCCTAGATTTTGCAAGCGTGGTTACACTTACCCCTCAAATTTTGCAGTCGGGGCAAGTGGCTTTTTGGATTCGGGGCAAGTGTAACCAGGGTGTAACTCATATAATATTCAGTAAAGAAAAAAAAACTTTGTTGTAAATATAAAATTAGGAATTTAGAAGATAAAGTAAAATTTTACACATATTGTTACTGAGTTAAGTTGGTTTGAAGAAAAACATAATTGTTTGTGAGTGAACTGCTTAAGTGATTATATAACTTTTACGTTAAACTTACCGGTACCCCGTTTTAAAATTTAGGATTTTCTTGCCCAAATGTAAATAAAAAATACCCCCGTCGCAGCAAACCTGCATATTAAGCGAACTTCCATTTACCCGGCTTGATTTCTACTAAAATATTCCCTATAAATTTTCAGATTTATTTCCTACTAGCTGTAACCCGCGGGCTTTGCCCCGTTTAACTTCTTAATTTTCAAGATTATCTCGTTCGCATGGCTCAATCACGTCCTGGTTGAAGTTTGTTCGCTACGCTCACTCACCTTTAGGTTGGAGCTCGTTCGCTACGCTCACTCACCTTTGGGTTGGAGCTCGTTCGCTGCGCTCACTTGCCTTCAGGTTAGCTCGTTCGCTACGCTAACTCGCCTCCAGGTTGAAGTTCGTTCGCTACGCTCACTCACCTTTTGGTTGCAAATTAGCTGTTGTCATAAATGTAAAAGAAATAATAGTGCTGCACCCTGTTGGTAATCCTTGTAACTTTAATGCTATTGAACATCATAGAACAGAACCAACTTGTTTAATTGAAACAGCTGTTAAGATTCAATAATTCCATTTCTCATAAGGTTAACATGGGAAACTCCAGAGCCACTGGGGCGGAGCCCGAAAGGATTATTGAAATAAGAATATGCCTATATGTTAATAATCGGGAATGTGAGCTATCATCATGCCAAATTTCAGCCCAATCCGACCAGTATTTTTCGCGTTCACTTGTCACAAACATACATCCATACATCCATACATCCAAACTTTCTCATTTATAATATTAGTAGGATTAGTAGGATTTAAATAACATTAATTTTAGTGAGTAGTTATGTTTGCTGCTACGGGGAAGATGTTGAGGTGTTTTTTTTTTTTCAATTGAAATATTGATAGCTTTATGAAATAAACCAAATTGCCAAATTTGATTAAAATATATCCGTAAAGAAGCAAACTAGAACAGTTTATTTATTCTCCATAAGAACAACATGGGAATTTTAAAAATACAATTTTTTTAATTTCCTCCGTAGTCAATGAACATTCAAAAACACTTCAATATACTAAATTATTTGTTTTTTTAAGCTCTTCAAAATGGTCTAGAGAGAAATTTAGAGATTTAAAGTTTTTAGGGTCAAAAATTAGAAAAACCCATTTTTACCCCATAAAACCCCCCATAAACCTCTGATCCCATGGTCCAATTATGCTGATTCGCGAACTCGTTCGAATAAATGTAGGTTTACACGTTTGTACCAAATTTCATCAAAATCGGATCAATTTTGCTCGAGTTATCGCGCTAACGGACACATATATATATATATGAATTTGAACGGATGGTGTTTTTGGCCTCTGGGGACCTCAAAACGAAAAAGTAAATCGGTCCCGGGTCTAGGTCTTACCATGAGACCTACGGTAATAGCTTATTCCCTATATGGGAAATTCGCTAATTCCCTATTTGGGAAATTCGCTAAAAACAATATTACTGTGAGATCTATTCTACACATGTTAAACAACATTAAAAACCATGTAAGTACCATTTAATGTTGTGTTTTTTTATGTTTTAACAGTAATCTTTCCGTTTTGCATGTTTTGCGTTTTTCACAAAAATCACAAAACACGAGAAGAGGTTTACGAAAAAGTTTGTAGCTTGAGTAAAAATTAAGATATTTTAATATGTCAAAAAGTCTTGGAATCAGCAAAAGATTTGAAATCTTGCCACTTGCACCATGTCTCTTTTTTCAATGCTTTATATATTTTTAACAGGCAGGTGTTACACTTGCCCCGAACCCTGGGGCAAGTGTAACCACAAAACGCAAAATTTTTAGTCATTTTTTTTTTACCAAAAATGATATTATTTTTTAATAACAATGGATATTGTTTTAAAGCCTATTAGTCAAAGTTTATGCATACACATTTTCAGAACTATATCATGTATAACAAGATGGCAATTTGAGGTCAAAGCTGAACTACTCCAAAACGTGGTTACACTTACCCCACTTCACCCTAGCCTAAATTTATTGGGCCAAAAAATATGAAAATGTGAATTTGATTATAGCCAACGCAAAATCAGTGTTTTTGTATATCTGCTAATAAAAATGTTACGGTATACAATTGGAATGGCTGGACATAAATGGGTCCAGTTTATTTTATTTTACTTGTAAGGAACTGTATTTTAATTGAGAATGATACAACACATAAAAGTAATTCATTTTTGTGAATTATATAAATAATTGAATTTAGATACTTGTATATATAACTTTTTTCATTTTCATGGTATCCAAATATGTTTTCAAGTCCTGTTTTTTCTCACAAATTTGTTTCTATATACGTTTATGATATTAAATATTCAAGTTTTGAATAATATATATAAAGTAGTGCACCTGTTGCTCGAATTCGAGCAATTGCAAAGTATTACAGGTGTTATTTTAAAGCGATTAAGAGTCATAATTTCCGATGAGAATCAACTCAAAGATAATATAATTAACCACTCGACTTCAGTTATCGAAACTGAAAACAAACTCACTCTCAAAACGCTCTTGTGTGTATCATGTGTTTACTATGAACAGCTGTAACTAATGCAAATTATTCGACTGTTTAAGTAAACAAAATATTTTCTTCATAAGAA